CAAAGCTAAGCTAGGACGTTCCAAAAGCACTCTTTGGGTGGTGCTTGAAGGCTGCCGCCGCCGCAGGCACTAACACGGTGACACTACCCCCCCCCCAGAGCCCTCCTCCAGGCTGGAGCTGCAGCTCAGATCCCACTGGAGCTGGGTGCGTTTTCCCTCGCAGTTCAGAGCGGGGCTGAAGCAGCTTCCACAGGGGTGGGAAGACGTTGGGAATCCTCAGCATTAACCTTGTTCTTCGTTGCTGGTGCTCGCCCGGCGCGTGACTCTGGTGCTCAGCAAAGGAAACGCCTTTGTGATGTCCCTGGTTATTTATGGTTCAAGTGTGATTTGTTCCCCTCTGCCCGTGATTCATGGAAACACCCGTGAGAGTCCTCAGAAATTCCTGCGTTCTGGCTCGGAACGTCCCGGCGCAGCGGATGCCGGTCGCCTGCTCCGGGGGGGGACACGGCTCTAATGCAGCTCCAGGGCTTCACTTGCTAATCCCTGCTCTAAAGCCACTACAAACCCTTCCCACTGCCCTTCTCCTCCACATGGAACGACTTCCAGGGCCTTCCATGGAGAAGCCTTCACATGGAGGACATCCAAAGTCTGCTGTTCTCAATTAGGACAGAGTGGGGTTTGCTTTGCTTCTGTGATTGGAGAAGTCCCCCTGTGGTTTCTCCCAGCAGAGAATGGATTTTGGGGTTATGTCCCCTGTCCCAGGGTGCTTTTAGGTGTCTCGACCGTGAGGATTGGGTGTCCAGGGTCTGTTCCCCTATCTCTGAGCACGTGAGAGCCGTGGCTGGGCATGGAACATGCTCAGCCCCACAAAGGTGGTTTAGGTCCCAACGTGCTTCTGTGGACCTGAAAACACCAGGAAGGGGAGGTTTAGTGTGGCACAAACAGAGCCTGCTCCTGCATCCCCCAGGACAGGGAAAAGAGGCCAGGGTGATTCCTGGATTCACAGAACCATGGAAGGGGTTGGGTTGGAGAAGGGACCTTAAAGTTCATCCAGAGCTCGCCTTGAACACTGCCAGGGATGAGGCAGCCACAGCTTCTCTGGGCACCCTGTGCCAGCGCCTCAGCACCCTCACAGGGAAGAGCTTCTGCCTCAGAGCTCAACTCAATCTCCCCCCTGGCAGGTTCAAGCCATTCCCCTTGGCCTGTCCCTCCATCCCTTGTCCCAAGCCCCTCTCCAGGTTCCCTGCAGCCCCTTCAGGCTCTGGAGCTGCTCTCAGGTCTCCCCTTCCCGCAGCAGAGGGGCAGGATCCCCTCCTGGAGCTGCTGCTCCCACTCTGGGGGTGCAGCCCCACACTGGGGGGGGTTCTGGGCTCAAGCACTCCCTGAAGCCAGCTCATGGGGACCCCAAGTCCCTCTCCTCAGGCTGCTCCATCCAGTCCCCCCCCGCCTGGGGCTGTGCTGGGATCGTCCCAACCCAGGGGCAGGAGCTTGGCCTTGGCCTGGTTGAGCTCCAGGAGGTTCCCTATGGAGTTTCCCAGGGCTGCCCCATGCACGCTGAGCTCCAGCCCTTAACCAAGCTTCCCTCTCATGGATTTAATGACGAATTCCATCCCCTTCCTCAGCCTTGCTCTGGTCCCAGGCAGGGAATTGCTCCTGGCATTAAAACGTGGCGTTTGATCACAGGCAGGGGCGTTCAGGATGTTCCACCCTTTGCCAGCAGCATTCCATCCTTTTGCTTTTCCTGGAGTTGGGATTGACAGGGGTTGGTACTAACTTGTAGGTGGCAGCTCCACTGCGGAGCCTCCTCATTCCCACCTCCTGCTCCTCCTAAGGCTCAGGTTGGTTTTGCTCCCCCCGTGTCTCCTCGGAAGCAGTTTGTGGAGCCCCATGGTGCCATTAAAGGATGGATCTTGTTCCACTCGGCTCCTTGGGTCGTTTCTTGGGGGGTTGCTTGGAACCGGTGGCAATTCCTGGCTGTGGAGGAGATCCCAGTGGCTCCAGAGCCCACAGAGCCCACTGGATGGAGCCGATCCATTGGGATCCCTGCAGGATCCAACCCTCAGGCCTCAGCTGTGCTCGCTCTGGGCTCCCAGGTCTGTTGTGACCATGGCCTCCAGCAAGAGGGTGAAGGATGGAGCCACCATGAGCTGCACCAGTCCCAATGGCATCCATGGAATCATGGAATGGTTTGGGTTGGGAGGGACCTTAAAGCTCCTCCAGCTCCAATCCAGCTCCAGGGACCCCTTCCACTGGAGCAGGGTGCTCCAAGCCCCTGTGTCTTGAACACCGCCAGGGATGGGGCAGGCTGGTTTCCTGGAGCTCTATGGAAGCGGATGCTATTCCATGGGCAGATCCCATCCAGGTCTCCATTACCCCCAGTGAAGGACGGGAGGGCGCGGGGTGGTGCTGCAGGTGGCAGTGACCGCGGTGCCGCTTCCCCGTTGTGACGTTCCATGGCATGGGGGCTTTAACGCTGCTTTGCTTTGATTCCCGAAGGATGGAAAGCCCAAAGCTCCAGGCCCGGCAGGTGGGGATGTGCCATGAGGCTGGGATGGGGGAGCTCGGCTCAGCTCTAACTCTCGCCCTTCACCTCTTCCAGCACCACCTGGGCCTCGCCGCCTGCCCTGAGCTCTTCCTGCTCAGCAACGTGGACACGGACACGCTCGTCGCCAGATGATTCCTGATCCCTGAGGACAGAACCGGTGTCAGTGGAAACCCGCCCTGGCTCGGGCTCAGCACCGAGCCGGGCTCACGCCGGGACCCTGAGTGCAGCCGGGGGTCGGACAATGGGACCGAATGGTCCTGGGAGCGCTGGGAATTGCTCAGAGCCGGAGCCACCAACCCGGCTCCAACCCCAACCTTGGGGTTTGCTTCCAGGTTCCTCCAGTTGCTCCTGTTTAGTTCCCGATAGTTGCTCTGCGAAAGGATTCATCACCGTTATTCCAGTTCCGATCCACGTTTCTCTCCTGTGGATGCTAATCCAAATCTTTTTTCCTAATTTGAGGAAAATTCCAGGTTTGGGAAACCCATCGGAGCAGAGCTCCATTCATGATGGTTTCAGAGACCAGCTTAGGAGGAGCGGCGGTGACTCCAGGTCTGGGCCCCTCCAGCAGCCTCTTCCTCATGGAGATGCTTCTTCCCAGCAGCTCCTCCTTCCCATGGGTTATTCCCAGCCCAGAGCTGAGTCGGAGCCGGATGCGCCCGGCGCAGGCAGCATCGAAGCTGCTGTTTGGAGGATTCCATTGAGCCCCGTTTTCCCGGCAGGCTCTGGCGTTCCGCAGGCAGGGGCTGAATGTGTGGAGCTGCTTTTCTGTCATCTCAGGGAACCTCTGGAGCCAATTCCCAACCCCCTTGATTCCAGCCTGATTGATTGGACTCCATCGTGGCCATATCCTACTTCTCCTTTATTAAATCTGGTTTAATTCAGCCTTTTTCCCAAGGAAAACTTCCTGGTTCTTTTTGCTTGGCATTTATCCCATGCACTGACTGCGGCATTCCCGGGCAAAGATCCCTTTTAACCTTTTCTCTTCAGCTTTTTTTAAAATAAACCTGACATTCCAGCCACTTTTCCCAGAGGGATTCATTCTATTCCTGGTTTTTCCCTGCTCGGGAGCGGAGCTCTGGGATTTCAGGTGAGTGAACCCAGGACCCATGCACCTGAGCAACCCACGGGGACTCCGAAGTGCCAGGGTTCAGGCTCAGATCCACTGGGGTATTCAGCCCATGCGATTGAGTTTTGGTGGGAGCTGTGTCCATGTATTCCTGTATCCATGTATCCCTGTGTCCATGTATCTGTGTATCCATGTATCCCTATATCCCTGTATCCATGTATCCCTGTGTCTATGTATCCATATATCCCTGTATCCATGTATCCCTGTGTCTACATATCCATATATCCCTGTATCCATGTATCCCTGTGTCTATGTATCCATATATCCCTGTATCCATGTATCCCTGTATCCATTTATCCCTGTATCCATGCATCCCTATATCTATGTATCCCTGTGTCTATGTATCCATGTATCCCTGTATCCATTTATCCCTATGTCCATGTATCTGTATATCCCTGTATCCATATATCCCTGTGTCCACCTATCCATATATCCCTGTATCCATGCATCCCTGTATCCGTGTCTATGTATCCATATATCCCTGTATCCATATATCCCTGTATCCATGTATCCCTGTATCCATATATCCCTGTATCCATGCATCCCTGTATCCATATATCCCTGTATTAACGTATCCCTGTGTCCACGTATCCCTGTATCCATGCATCCCTGTATCCATGTATCCCTGTGTCGATGTATCCCTGAATCCATTTATCCTTGTATCCATATATCCGTATATCCCTGTATCCATATATCCATGTATCCCTGTGTCCGCTCACCTCAGCCAATCCCAGCGCAGCGCCTCCGCCTCCTCCAATCAGCGCCTGGCGGCTGTTTCCAGGCCCCCCTCGCAGTACCCAATCAGGAAGCGCCGTTCGGGTTCTGGGGGGGGGCTGGAAACCGCCGTGGTACCGGTGGCTCCGGCAGCGGCGCGAGGCGGCAGGTACCGGGGGTCACGTGAGGACACGGGGGGGGGGGGGGAGGGGAGCAGCGGCCGCGGCCCGGTTCAAGTAATCCAGGATTAGGCTGTTCCAGCCCGGCCTGCTCCCGGTTACTTGTCCTGGGAGGCGGCCGGTGACGTCACGGGGCGGGAATACCGGAGGAGGGGGAGCTGGGGGGGGGGTGAGCATCGTCCCGTGGCCACCGTGTGTCCTGTGTCCCCTCCCCCCCCCCCCCGTTTTACCGGTTCAACCTCAATAAACCAGTGCTGGCGGCGCCGGGGTAACGGGAGCGGGGAGGGGGAGGAAAGGTCAACCCCGGTCAGGGCCAGTCCCGAATGGGGGAGTTGGAGTCAGGCCCGGGGTGGGAGCGGGGTAAATCCCGGTGGGGGGGGTTCAGGCCGGGGGTACCGATCCCCGGCTGCGGTGCAGGGGGTCCCTGGGGATGGGGATGGGGGGGGGGGGGGGGGGGGCACGAGGACGCTTCCCCCACCCAATAAAACACCCGGGCTCGCTCCTCTTCCCGTTTATTCCGCTGGGGGTGCGGGAGGCTCCCGGTGCCCCCGGTACCGGGAGGGGTCAACGACCCCGGGTGACCCCAGCCGATACCGGGGGGGGGGGGGGGTGGTGTCACCGTGAGGTCACGTCCGCGGTGGGCTCCTCCCCGCAGCGGAACCGCACAAAGCCGGTGACGCAGAGCGGGCCCAGCGCGCGGAGCACGCGCCCCACGCGGCGCCCCGGCGCGTGCAGGAACTCCTGCGCCAGCAGCGCCTCCTCCTCCTCCTCCCAGCCCCGCCGCCGTTCCCGCGCGCGCCCCACGCGCCGTGGCGCGAAACCCACCACGTGCTGCGCCACCTGCCGGCCCAGCGCCTCCAGCGCGGCGACGCGCGCGCCGCCCCGCGTCACGCCCCGCGCGCCGCACGCCACCAGCGCGCCCAGGGTCCCCAGAGCCACCGGCCCCGAGCCGGGATCCGCAGCGGGGCCCCCGTGCGCGTACCCGGACACGAACCCGGCCCCGGGCCGCACCCGCAGCCACGCGGCGCGGCGCAGGGACACGGCCTCGCCCAGGCGGCCTGCGGGGAGATCGGGGGGGGTCACACGGGGTCACCCCCTCCCAAGATCACCCCAGGTCCCTCCTGTCACTGCCCAGGGTGTCCCCGCATCACCACCCTGGGTGTCCCCCCCACCCCACTCCTCCAGGGTCACCCCACATCCCCCCCCCAGCTCCCCTCCATTCCCTGCCCCCTGCTGTCCCCCCATGTCCTTTCTGTCACCACCCAGGGTGGCCCCCCATCACCCTGTCCCGAGGTGACCCCAGGTCCTGTCCC